CCAATTCCTGCGGGGAATGGCTGTCTTGGGAGGTTTCTGGGACCAGTTTCTGGTGGATGTATTTTTCTCGTGAGGTTGTGCAAAGCTTTTCATGGCCAATTTTAGCAGAATTTCCCCATTTCTTGAACGCTGGTGCCAGTCAGGAACTTCAACAGGAACAACACCAGCAAAGCCGGGTTAGGGGCATGAGGCCGAATTCAGCCCGAAGCTTCGTTTCACCATCTGCTTTTCTCAAGACGTGACTTTACTCTTAATCCATCACGCGCAAGCTCTGAGGACCCAGGGGCATTTCTTGGGCTCAGGCTGATGCCTGGGACATTGGGCAGGTGGAGGCATTGGAGAGGGGATGAAATGCAGCTGGTTTTCTCTTTTTTTTTTGTCCATTTTTCCCTAGCATGGCCTGGAGCTGAGGACCGGGGCAGCCTCCCTCTGCAGAGCATCACATGGAGTAGGTCAGGGATGCAATATCTCAACAAAAGACAGACAGACCCTGGACTCAGCCAGTCCAAGGTGGTTTCAAACAAGGCAGATGGCAAAAAAGAAAACAAACAAACAAACAAACAAATCTCGTCATGTGTCACAGTCCCAGCTGCCACCCAAGGCACGGCCAAGGCCAGTTCTTACACACCTTGTTCGGCTCCTCCTAAAGGCTCCTAATTAGGTTAAAACAAACAAACAAACCAACAAAAAGAAAAATACGGATAAAGGCTTTTCTCAGCCCAGTTATTTGCTCTAAACTTGAAGATGTTAATTTTTCTCCACTCCTAATTTTTCTCCATGTCCCGCAGCAAATTTGCTTTTCAGGTGACCCATCAGGGGAAAGACCAGGGGGTACTTCCCGGCAGGTCACGGCCCTGCTTCTACAGCGAGGAAAGGACGAGCGGTTTTGCCCTGCTATTAGAGGTGCCCCGGGATAAGCCTTAACGAAGCCAGGGCCGAGTGGGCACCAGCACAATCTGAGTGCGTTTCTTCAGCCTGTTATTTTGGGTTGAAAGCCTGCAGGTTCAGGTTGAGCAAAACCATTTGGGTATTCGTGCCAAATGATACTAACAAAGGGCAGATGGAAATGAGCCCCTTTGCTGCCTCTTCCCACCCCCAGGAAAAGGGCTTGAGGATCCCTCCCTATCGCATAGGAACATTCCCTATCCCTTGCAGAACCTTCCCTATAAGCAAGGAGGGGAAGGAAAAATGCCCAAAAGCAGTAAAATGGGATTTTTCCTGACCCAGCATAGGGACCAAATGGGTGCAAAGGTCTGGGAGGGTGGGACAGCTTTTAGCAAGCGCAAGGGAGCCCACGGCCACAGAGCCACACTTGCTTAGAGATAATCAGAGGACGAGCTCCCCGCAGACAAAGAGATAGAGAAATATATATATACATATATATATATACACACCCCGAAATTGCAATCATTTCCCTAAAGCACTACTTCTTTGTGGCGTTTCCTCCAGCTCGGCCCTGGCGAATGACTCCCGAGGCGCTCCGCACAGCCGCCCCGGAAGGTAGAAAGTTTGCCTTCTAAGTTATTTTTTTAAAATCTCTATAAATCTAGGTCTATTCTAGTCTTTCGCAGCGACGTGCCAGTGTCTGGAGAACCAAACCTCCCTGTTCCCCCTTCCTGCGGTTGCTCCAGCCCCAAGGCTCCCGCCGGGCCACCGTGGGAGCCCCTCATTTTAGCACTTTGGTTGGTACTATCACCTGTAGACGCACTTTGATGTTGTTGCTTTGAACCTTTGCCGAGTGTAAACAATGTGTATTTAAGAATTACAAAAGAGAAACGAAGAAAAAGCGTGCAAAGAGCTATTTTATGATTCAGGGTTGAATAAAAGACTGTTGGGGAGGGGGGGGGTTCACCCCTTGCCGTCTCTCCTTGCCTCAACGGGAGGAGGACCCCAACTTCGTCTCCATGGTCGCTCCCACAGGAGCGGCCCTTAGGGGTACGTCCTTGCAAGCCCTGTCATCGCATCCAGCTGCGCTGCGCTGGTGCAGCCCTGGGGACGTTTCCTCTTCAGCCCACCCCTCGGGCGCGAGCCCCAGCCCGGCTCCGCACCCCACTTTGGCGTTTGGCAGCTCCTCGCTGAAAGACACTGCGGGAAAGCTCAGAAGGGCTGGCGAGGGAGAAAGAGTTTCAAACCCAAAGTCAGCTGAGAGAGATGCAATTTGCCAGCGGCAGGAGCTGAAAGAGCTGACCTCCTCGCTAAGTGTCACCGGGAATTATGCTAAGGACGCAACGGCTGGATGTAGGTCAGTAGCTGCGGAGGCTCAGTCTCCAGGAGCAACTGGGGCTAGCACCGCACGCCAAGGCCAAGGCGAGCTCCCAGGGCTGCAGGCACCTCCTGTCCTGCAACGCTGGCGACGGAGCAACCTCAAACCCCCCGGAGCACCCTTCCACCAAGACGAGGTCAGTCCAGGGACACCTCATTCCTGTAGGAGGTATCCACGATGCTGGGGGAGGAGGAAGCGCTCACTCGCGGTGGGCCTTCCAAAGCTCTGCAAACCAGGCAGCAACACACACTTCGGTGCGATTCAGTGAAGATGGAGACACCTGATTTCTGTCCTTGCTTTACAGGAGTGCCAGGCTGCAAAATTCCCCTCCCTCAGCACCCACGGCAAGCATCCAAGTGCATCCTCTCAGCCCTTTTCCACACCTCGGGACAGGAAGCGTGCATGCCACCCACACCGTGCCACCTGCTCCAGCAGCAACTGGGGCTGATGTGCCCTGAAACGGCTTCCTCCAGAGCACGTCTGCCCCCTTGCTCGGGGAGGGGGATCATCTGCACTGCATCAGCAGATCCCCGTCCTCCGAGATGCAAGCTGAGCCCCCCACAATTCCTATTTTTATCCCTCCTAGGCTAGGAGAGTTGATGCATTTTATCTTGGCAGCATTTGTATTTAAATGCCATGACTAAGAAATCCCAGTATGATTTTGCATGAAAGCTGTAGCTTTCTCCATTTTCCAGTATAGCCACTCGCACGCTGCCAAACGCCCTTCATACGAGATGAATGGCCACAAGAGTCGTGTAAGGGAAGCACTGGACGCCACTACGCCTGCAGCAGAGGGCTCTTATGGGCCTTTGTATGGCAGTACTTCACAAGCAGAGCAGAAGTAACCCATTTTGTAGTGTAACGGGCCATCAACTTGCCTAATTAAATGAGATCTCAAAGGGCTGATACCAGATAGATAGGTATTTTTCCCCCACTCTCCTCCAACAACAGTCTCGTAGCTTACCAGTCCCACCTCCAGAGCCAGCTACCCAGTCGTAGAGCCCCTCAGTCTCCTCATGTTCCCCAAGAGAAGTTTTCCACCAGAGAAGCCTCCGGCCCCAAGCGCAAGGATCTATTACTGAGGCCCCACCGGCCCCACGTATCCCCTCCGTTACCTGAGCCAAGGTCAGAGATACCAGACAGTCCCCACCAGCACATCTGCTGCACCACATCAGCAACTTCGAGCAAGTTTAAAAAAAGAAAGTCACTGAGCAACAGCAAACAGCTCCCAGAGATATTAACAAGCACAGAGGTGATCTGTCCTGGAAGCACAAGAAACTTGGGTATGCTATGAGTCAGTCCCACTTCCCAGTGCGGAGCTGCTTTTAAAGGAGCAAAGAACATTAAGAAGTATTTCCAGCCATGACCCGATCATGCCTGCAGAAGGGAAGCCAGCAGCAGAGAACACAGAACAGCCCCTTTGCCACTGAAACACTGTATCCTTTTATTGTGTTTGAGTCTGGGTTCAAAATCCCCAGGAGAAAAAGAAAATTTATAAATACAACCAAACCCCGCGCACGCTTCCTGCACTATCTGCCGGTGTTGAAGACGGCTCCGTTCAGTGTAGCTTCCGAGAGGAAGGACAAGAGACGAGCCTCAGGGGATCAGTGCTGTGTAGAAAACGTTGGGACAGGGCATATCACAGGAGGTTCCTGCTACTGATGCCAAGACTTGATTCTAATTAAACAAGGCCCGTGGTTGCCCGTAAGCCCTCAAACGACCATATGGTAAATAGCCTGTTAATTAAGCTAGAAATCAATTCTTTTCCAATTTGCACAATGGAGGAGAGCACCGGCCCCTGTCCCTACAGGGACACAGGCGCCGGGTCTCAGTGGTTGTGGGGCCTGCCTCGTCCCCTGCCCCGTCCGCCAGGCGGAGCGTCCACCGTGGAACGGGGATTCTTGATGGTTTCGTCTACAGACACAATGAGGCAGGCGGCCTCGGAGGCTGCCGTCAGCGCGTTGATGCGCACGATGGCTGGCTCCCACACGCAGGCCTCAAAGTTATCAGCGATGTCCTCGTTGTTCACGTCCACACCGTACCACATACCTCCCTAGCAGAAGAGAGGACAGAAGATGTTCTAGTTAGAGGGCACAACAGGACCTCGGGGCCCAGCACGCTAGGAAGCAAGGCCATGCAAACACACCGGGAGAAGCAAAGACTGGACCCTAGTGTATTTGTAGAAAGAATATTTGAGGGGAACAAAAAGAAACTTCAGCTGTCTGCAAACAGCACCATCCAAGCCGTGCAAAATAGGGGGTTAGCTCCATTTTACAAAGAAGCTGAAGAAAGCTTGAAGACCCACTTCCACCTCACTGTTGTCTCCTTCTCTTATCCAAAGCTGCATGGTTTCGTGGCCCAAGATACAACACTCATGTCAGAGCATCCCCAGCAAAGTCGCAGGGCCAACATTGCTTACACTATCATCTGCAAGGTGAAACGTGGCAAGCCCCAGCCCGTGATGCTGCAGCCGCTTCTGACAGAAGGGCTAACCTAGGGGTTACACCCTGCTCTCCTGCTAACTGCCTTAATGAGGACTTGGTGTGCATACACACACTTCACACCACCTGAAGTGATCACAAGCAATCAGGAGCTTCAGTTTGCAGCTCATCTGAAAGACACATGGCTCAGCCAACTTCTATACTCTAATTACTTTAATGTTTAATATAGAAGCCTCCCTCCTGACAAATGATGCATTTTTAAAAAGCAAATCAAAAACTCCAGCTCTAAAAAAAAAGTCATCCGACAGCTGTGATCAAAGGGAAAGCAACCATTTCTCTTTTTAGAAACCTGCAGCAAGCCTGCACTGGATCTGAAAACAAAATATGGCATTTAATCAAAGAGAACACAAGCCTAACACGGGTACAGCTGAATTATATACCACGTCCATAAGGCTCCAAAATTACAGGCTATGAGTTCACCATAACAGCCCTCTGCCCAAAAGCCAGCCACCTACCTGTGCGTGCTTGGCTCGGAGCTTGTTCAGTATGTTGGTGGCATCGAAGCCAGCATTATCACATAGCTGGCGGGGAATGATCTCAAGGGCTTTAGCGTAAGCACCTATCAGCAGCTGCTGCTTGCCTGGAATGGTCCTGGAATAGTCCCGGAGGTATTTGGAAAGCTCCATCTCTATCGCACCACCGCCAGCAACAACCGAGTCGTTCTGAAAGACAAGGGGAAAAAACAGGCTATTAGCTCTCCCCACACAGCCGTTCCGCTGGTATTGGCAAAGGGGGAGAGCAGGGAGGCTTCCTGTCCCAGGAGCTTTTACGGATTTGGGTGTTGCAGATGTTTTGGGACCAGGAGAGTCTGCAGCACAGGCTGCTGCCCTCACTAGGACGGCCTGCCAGCTTTGCTGGGAGTTTCAGAAGCAGGCCAGGAACCTCAAGTAGCCTCTTAGCTCTTCTGGGCTGCGTGCAAGATGGAGAAAGCAGTGGTTTGGGAACGTTGTATCAGGCAAGGGATGGCAGTCCACAGCCTCCCTAGTGCTGAACAGATTTCCTTTGCTTCCAGAAAGCATCCAAAACTGGAGATATTTGCAGCACCACTTAGCAGCCAAGTTCTGTTACCAGCTATTTTTTCCTCCTTATTTGCTTCAGTAGAGAGATCAGGATGTTCTTACTAAAAGCAAAACAGTTCCTCCAAAGGGGGAGGGGGAAAAAAAAAAAATCCTGACATGCTTCTTCCCATCCCCTCTAGGCACTCAGCCACAAAGCTCCGTTTACCATGAAATGCCACATTAACACATTATTATGCCTAACCCCAAAATGCCCACAGTTGCACAGCATACAGTACACAAGACCAGCAACTCCACAAGCCTAACAGACAGTCACACGTGATTAGAGCTCCCTCTGTGCTCCCTGCCTACCCTCAACAGCAGGGGATAGTTACCAACACTTACCTCTTGGAGAGCGCATCAAGAGAGGGAGCAAGCAGCTTCCTGGGTGCACACAAGGGTGAGAGGAGCTGACATGCACACGAGAATAATTTTGTTATCCATAACTACTGAAGATCTAACTTTGCACACCCAAAAGATACTGCTACCCTTTAGGATGAAGGTATTTACAGCACACACCACAACCTAGCAAGTTCACAGTGGTTACGACTGTGCTAAAGACACCAGGCATGTCTGGAGAGCAGCTGCCTTTACAGAGAAAAATACCGCTTTGGCCAAGGAAAAGCACCTGCATTTATCAGTTGGACACCACCCTTCCGCACACTCCACTCTACAGGCTGAGAAGCCATGGTGTCTCCAGGAGAGAACTCAGCCAGACACTCACGTGCAATACGGCCAGGCAATAATATCTCCAGCAGTCCTTACCTTGATTGCTCTCCTGACTATCATGATGGCATCATGCAGGGAGCGTTCCGTCTCCTCCATGAACTGCTCTGCACCCCCTCGCAGGATTATCGTGCAAGTCTTCGCCTTTGGGCAGCCCGTGAAGAAGTTGTACCTGCCAACGGCACAACACAACAAGGGTCAAGGTGACTGAGAGGTCATGCTGCTTCTGAACATGCTTTGCAGCAAACAGTATGGGTACAGAGAGATTCTTTTCAAACTAGATGAAGTAACGCAGCTGTTTCATCCTGTACGGTGACTCTACGAGATCTTAAGTCAAGAAGGAGCTCAGTCAGGCAATGTACAAGTAAAATACAAGTTGACCCAGGAAAAGCCAATCTCCTTCTGCTGATAAGGCTTTACACTAAACCAGCGCTCTCTTTTTCACTTAGCAGGAACACAGCAGATGTTAGGAGATAGCCCCAAAGAGGATTGCTTTTCCAGCAACATGGAAGAACCTCCAGCTTCATTTGCACTGATAAAGTTTCACTGTGAGATATTAGACACAATCGACCCCAAAAAGTGTTGCTTTTAAGTCATGAATGCCACGTGTTATACAAGTCACTGTGGAATAAATGTATTAAAAAGCGCACAAGAGGTAAGATTTGGGTGAAATCTTGCTTCTGCTTACAAACATAGAGGGCACAGGAGTAATACTGCAGTCTTGTACAAGCCATCACCTTGAAACGCTCAAACCTGCTAAGCACTTAGATCCTAACTTTCTAGCAGGTGACCTTTCAAACTAACTGTGCTTACACAGGACTGAAGGTTCACAGCTACAGCATGTTTACCTATCTCCTCCAATCTGAGTCTCCTCAAACACTTCACATCGGCCCAGCACATCATCCGACAGGGCATTGACACTAGTCTGAATGGAACCGCCACAGGCCTGCACAGAAAGAAGATAAAACGGAGCGTTACTGACACCGACAAACAAGACAAAGCAGGCTCCCATTCTGCAGAGATGGCCCAGCCTTTTAGCTGATGCCAAACCACACTGCAGGCCAGATTCTGGGGAGAAAAAGAAGAGGAAAAAAAAAAAAAGAAAAAATTTGTATTTTCCTCCCATCTCAGGCATCTAGGTAGGCTAGCAATATCAGAAATAATCCTCAGAGCAAAGTAGGATTACACCTCTAAGTGCTGACTCACTGCTCTAGAGTCCAGTGGCTACACAAAAAAAGCTTTCAAAAAAAAAAGTCATCTGAGACAGAACAGGGAAGAACTAGGGAACATACACCAACGGAATGTACAGCCCCTTAATATATTACAACCCTGGAGAGCCATAAAAGCAGCACAGATGCAAGTAGACTTCGATGCCTCATTCTATCAAGGAATGGCTTTGTCAGTACGTCAACTCAGTAAGAGCATTGCCAAAAAAAAAAAACAATTTCACATTTTCACATTTTATGAAGTTTTACATTTACATAAGGAACTGTGTGTTCAGTCACTGACTGCTGTCCTGTTTTGGGAATGATCTGACTAGTCTAGTACTATTAAAGACTAATCTAGAAATCTTTGTTCAAGAACAAAGCAGCTCACCATCATAGTTCTCTTGAGATCTTCTTCCGGGACACGGCCAGCGCAAAACATGTCTCTATCTGCAAAGTACTGAGTAGCCACATCACCAATAGGAAGTTTGGACAGGACAACTTTGGCTCCCGACTTGTGGATTTTGTCTAGCTTGTCATATAAGATGTTCCATTCAGCATCCACAATGGCCTGGTAATCCTAGCAAGGCCGAGAGAGAGACATACTCACGTTACAAAGGATTGCAAATGCCATGCCACAGCGCCTGCAAAGGGACAGCTCTTCCAAAACAAAGGCAGCAGTGATGTTGGCAGACAACTGCTTCCAGTACTCATAGCCAATTCTAGGTCACTATCTTATCATGAAGAACCAAGCCTGTTAAAATGCTTCCAGCAGCAACACTGAGTGGATAAAGGGGCTACATGAACCGACAGAAAGGCAGCGATAGCTCAGAAGAGAGATAACAGGAGAACGAAAAAGTGATTACACTGACGACTGAGAGGATTTCACTGAAATAACGCACGGATGCTGGGGTGGAGGAACTTCACAAAGGAAAAAACAAAGATACCAAGTGATCTCATGCTTTTCCAGCGTGCCGAAGCCCAATAAGCCACGCACGCAAGCCAGCTGTATGCTAGCTGCCAGTGACAGACAGCCACAGCTGCCTGGGACAGCTTTGTGTAGCTTTGCTGTGTGCTACTGAATTAACTACGACAGGAAAGACCATCATGTTCACCAGGGCAGAGTAGAGAACTTTCTATAAACACCTGGAGATCTCTAGGCACCACAGTTACTGCCAGAGCCAAACACAGGCAGAACTGTGGCACTGTGGGAATTTTACATTCTCTTCCCTGATGCCAAATTAGGGTTTTGGGCAGCTTCTCAAGAGGGTGGTAGAGAGTCACCGCAATTTCAGAAAGGCATTTTAACAAGATGAAAGGAGAACTAGTGTCTGAATGACCACTTGTTTGCTTAAATAAGCACAGGACTTATTTTCTCAGCATTTAAAGCACTAGATAGTAAGATTTTCCTGGGAGGCTGCTTACTGGGCATAAAGAAGTCACCACTTGACCGTCACCACTGCTGACAATTTATCACGGCACGATGACAGTGCAGAACCGTGCCTTAAACCTGCTTCACCTGCTCTGTAATTCCAAGTCGGTCACACTCTTCCCTCAGCCTAGGCAGTATAACCCAGCAGGTATTATCAGAAGGGAAGGATATGCATACGGGCAATCGGCAGACGGCTGACTCCCTGGTAACATTTATTCCCCCGGCTCTCAAGCAGCCATCATGTCTTGCGGGCACGGGGAAGCGGGACAGGCACAGCACCAGGTCACCACTAAGACACCACTGAAGACTGACAACCAACAGAGGGCAAGGAGGATTCCAGCCAAGGGCAGGTTATTACCCCAGAAGTATGTAACCAGCTCTCTAAGCTATTATAAGAGAAACCCTACAAACAGCAGGATATATTTCCTTCCAGTACAGGTCTCAGAGACTGTCAACAAGCAGCACATTAGACAAGCTGCCATTTTAGCTCCGAGCTCCCTTCCGGCTCTCACCTCCACCGTGTTTACTCTGACTTCGGCGTTGTCCTTCTCAGCTTTGTGCTGCAGCTCAGGGCAATCTTGGGAGACTGGTACTTCTTGGGTTGCATTTCAAACCCAGCATAAGAGAACGTCTTCTTAAAGGCGACTCCAGCCACCAACTGAGAATCCTTGAAAACAGGGATTTGCATTAAGCTTAGCCACCCCAGGTTTCTTCAACAGAGCTGAGAACTCCCACAGGAGACTCCCTGGTTCAGAGTCCTCATTTACAAAGACTGTGCTATTTACTTACCAACAGCTGTCTCCTTTGATTAACCCACTTTTGAAGAAAATAAGTAGCAAATATTTTCTTTCCTCTGCTCACAAAACCAGCCTCAATCATTTCCTTCCTACCCCTCAAAATACTGCAGTGCAAGATGCTATACACAATCTCAAGATCAAGGGATGAAACAATCTGTTCTCTCTGATGTCTTTCCCACGTCTGCCCTTTGAAGATGGATACTTCTACTCATCGACAGCCCCAAATTTGTTTTTTTGTTGCCCTGGTTTGCTTTACAGACTCCATCACCATCCCTTGGAGTCTTTTGCAGCAGAACTGCTGTGCTCAACACTGCCCTCTAACGTGAACTTCTTGACTTTGCAGCTGGGAGAAAAACCTGCAGCCGAATTTCCTTCCCCACCAGCAAGGAACCATCCACTGCAGGCTCAGCTCTGCCAGGCCAGCTAAGCCCAAGGGAGTACCTGTAATTTTACCCTCCTCAGCTAGGAAGGGCACAGATTTTCTGTACTCTAGCTGACAGGTCGAGACGACCCTGGATCTATCAGAAGCCAGCCCTGAAAAGCAGGGCACTAAATTATTTACCCCATCCTGATAACGCCCTCCAAGGAGGCCTTATAGACAAACTCTCACGTAACTGCTGAAGGCTGAACACAAGGACAAAACCGCAAGGAGAACAGCTTTTCATCTGTGAGGGGAGACACCTCCCTCCACAAGGGACCAATTCCTGCAAGCCTCAGAATACCAAAAGGCCCAGACTCCACAAAAACAGATGCAGAAACATTCGTAATTCACTAAATCAGTTGTCTGGGCAAGATAATGGCATAATTACAATGTCTCTTCTCAATGAAAAATGCTTGTCTGAAGTGTTTACAGAGAGTAACAGTCACAGAATAATAATTCCGTGAGATGCTATGGCAGGACTTGCTCCTTTAGGAGAAACATGCCAAGCAATCAGCCAAACCTATGCAGGATATAGGCAAGAGAGAAGGGACACACCAGCTCTCCCACAGCCCAAGAGCAACATCCTACCAAACACCTGCAGGTGGTCCTCCATATGACAGGTATTCCAGTACTCTGGCAATAAATCACATAGTCCATCTATCCTGCCCGCCACCTTAACTCCTTCAAAACATGTTCTCTGCAGTTTTCCCAGCCCAGTGCTCACGTGTAAGACAGGGACTATATAGTTTTGGTTGCAGAAGTAACAAAGACTTCCCACCAACCAATACCAAACATTGTTTCACTATTTACAGAAATATAAATTGGAGTGGATGTTGTTACTGATGCAACTTCCAAGGGCAGAGATAGGGTGTACGTGGCTCAAAAAGAGATTCCCCCATCTGTAACAGAGAAAAATCCACTCCTACCCACTTCCTCCTCTTGTCAACAGCTTTGTTTTGCCTTGGTAATTTCCTAACAAACATTATCAAGTTGGGCTGCATTTTTGCTAGGGTCAACCCACCAAAGCAGCTGCAATCATTTTCTCCTATCCCTTCAAGACAGACTCCAATGAAACTTACTTCCAGAGCACCTCCTTGCACCTTCTTTATTCCAATCATTTTGAGTTGTAACAAGTCATCTAACATCATGACAGCATCTACAACCATCTTGGAAAAAAACTCCTTGCTCTGGGATATCAGCTTGGAGCTCAGGGCTGTGGCCGCACACTTCTCCAGCAGGCTTCTCTGCTCACTGCAAGAGGAGAGGGGGGGAAAAAAAACAAATGTCTTGCTCACACATCAATTCTTCCTGTTAGCTCATAAAACAGTGTGTACAGTACGATTAACCCACTCTCTGATGGAGTCAAAGATCCGTTCCATTCTACCAGTGGGGAAAGCAAGGCATGCACAAGTCAAAATTCAGACTTTCAGAGCAAATTTCCCCATTTTAGAGTCTGAACATCAGACTAGCACTGACCAGGTTGGTTGGCTTTTACACACCGCAGGCCTGACCAACACAACAAGGCTCAGCATCCACATGAGATATTTCCAAAGAAGTTTCCGAATCCCTCTAAAGGCAGCACATTCTCTGCAATGTTAACTTCGGTAACGTATGTCATGACATGAGAACAAGAGGACAGCCCGGAGACCTGGATCCCACTCCCAGGCTCTACCACCCAAGTCACGGCCCTGGTTACTGTTACCACGGGAACTACTGTATTTTGCTTTGCCAGACAGTACAAAAGACAAATCATTTTGGTTTATTTGGGACTTCCACGTGGTTCAACTTGGAAGTTTTACTGGAAACATTAGTAGGGTCAGACAAAGACGACAAGAACTTAAAATGCAGGGAGAAAGACTCTGGTATTCCCACCTCATTCCAATAGAGGAGTTCATTACTGTTACTAACTATCTAACTTCACGTACTCAACTGAAAAACTATACAGTGACCTGATTTCCTGATCTGATTTTCAGAGAAGTGCCAAGTACATAACACCATCACTGATTTCAGCAGAAGCTGCAAGTTTCCACCACCACTGGAAAAAAAGAAATCAGGCTGCTTATTTCAGTACCTCGTTTCCTCCATGTGCATTGGCAAACACTGGCCTACACATTTCACTACAGCGGCAGCCAAAGTAAGAACACAGTATCGTCCCAGGAGGAGCAAGAGACTCCAAAAGCCAAAGGAAAACCCTGGTGTGGGGCCACAGCTGCTCTCCCAACCTCGAGACCTCGGCCAGAGCTACGTTACATTCACACCGAATAAATGCCCATCTCTAAAACCAGGCCATCTAGCCAGGGACTCAGATGGGAACTTACTCTTTATCTTCCTTCTTCACTGCAACAGCGATGTCTTTGATCTTGTTTACAGCCTGTCAAAACACAAGCCAGCAGCCGGATTGATGACTCATGTTTTTAAACTGACCACATCTCCAACTTTTCATTTTGCATTTTATGTTATCTTTTATTTCCAACTTCAATGTAACTGAAGCTTCAAGCATTTAAGCTATTCCACTGCTTCTAGCACAGTAATTGCAAAAAATGCCTCAATGAGCATGCAAGATTCAGAAGGCGGCTCAAAACCCCTCTGCTGCTTTCTGCAGAGATCTGGGGGGACCAGATCTACAAACACGCAAGATAACCAGAAGCAGCTAGTATAGTCCAGGCACATTTACATGCAACTGCAGCCCCCATTAAAGCAAAAATCCCACAGACTGCAACTGATGCAACGTCTTCTCATCCACATAGCGCTACGTTAAGAGGATTCTTCTTTTTCATACCATAAAAGTAAGTATTTTAACAATCTCTGATGGGATTCTGAAAAGTTGCCTTAAACAGTTAAGAGCCTTCTCACTCAGGTCTCTCACGTGCAGTCAGGCATTACGATCAAGCCTAAGAAAAAGGCTATTAAGGGAGTTAACCTCCAGAAGAGATTCCAGCTTAATGGGACTGATGTACTTGAGGAGACATAAGATTTACCACGGAGTAACAGAAATCAGTCAAACAGGAAATGAGTTTTCCCACTTATTCATTCTTCCTTGGAGAAAAACAGAAAAAGCAATAGCCCTGAGGAGGTACTCGCTAATAATAACAGCTCGCTGAACACCAAAGCGGCCAGCTGATGTCTGCAGGAGAACATCATGAGATTGTCACTGCCACCCCTTCCCTCCCACCCAACTTCACAAGTTATTTTCCTGGAAGTAACGCTATTTTTTCCTCTGCTGGTACAGAGCCGCTCTCCCCAGACATTCTCACTGAGCCCAATACTCCCCTCAACTCCAAAAGGCCAGCAGAGCCCTCCCTCATCTACAAGCAGCATTTCCTTACCAGCTGTGTTGCTGTGCGGAAGGCACGGATGATGATTTGAGGATGGAGGCCTTCCTCCACATAGGGCTTCACTTGTTTCAGGAACTCAGCAGCAAGCAGAGTTACGGACGTGGTGCCATCACCAACCTGCACAGACATGAAATACTTTGCCTCACCGCTACACTGCAAAGGTGCTGCGATAACAGCTTCAAAAACACGCAAGAGCTTCCAAAGGAAATCAGATTTCATGAGTTTCTCTGCTCACAGATTTACAACTGCATCCTTTAGTGCTTAAGAAATCATGGGGTTCATACTACATCCCTTTCGAAGGGGCAGTAAAGTCTCTTTTCCCAGTCACTTACATTCATGAAACGTGAACTTCAGAATTTCCCAATCCCTTTATCAAATCTAGCTGAAACAGCTTAAAAGATTTTGAAGTTCACAAAGAAGTGAAAGCACTAAAAAAGAAATCAAGCTAAACGCAGGCACTCCACTGAGCCCCCCCTGCCCCATTAGCACGGGGTGCACACCACCATTGATGGGAGAAAGCTGCTGCTGCATTTTACGCTTCTGAGTGTAGCAAGGTTACCCTCCTACCTCCGCATCTTGAGATTTCGCAATGTCCACTAACGTCTTCGCAGCCGGATGGACAACATCAAGGAGCTTCAGTATGGTGGCACCATCATTAGATATAGTGGCTTTGCCTACAGTTCATTTAGAAAAGGAAGTCAAGCTCAACTGCTCTGAATAAAGCCTTAACCACTAGAAAAAGGGCAACTGCAGCATGCAAGGAAGCTCTCTAGGCTTCAGCAAGATTTTAAGGAACGCAACAGTAATTTCAGACCAGAGAGCCTAACTGTGCTTCACTGTTTTGCCTTCCAGGTCAAGTGGAGCCCCAAGCTTTTATCGGGGTAGAACATTTTCCTGATTGAGCCCTGATCCAGCAACCCCATGTGAATTTTGTCACGCTTCAACAATCACAGGCTCTCATCCCAAACTGCCACTTAGAAGTCTTATCCTCTTCAGCCAAACTGTTTTCCCTATGTGATTTGGAACGTGATCACTGCAATACTTCAATACATTCCTACATCCAGGAAGATAAAAACTACTAGTCAGCTGAAAAGGAAAGTAAGGGGCCAGCTCCGTGGAGAGGGGGAGCCCAGAACAGCTGTTTTACAGCAGGTCTCTAAGGAGGAACTTCCAATGCATATTAACAGTGTCTTTTTACTCCACATTTGGAGCAGATAAAGTGAAGTCTGTCTAAGTACAGAACTACTCATACCAGTTAACAGGAGCTTTACATTCATCCCCTCTCATTTCTCAATAGCCTCCCCATGCAGATTAAAAATTATATGTATATATATACACATCTCTCTCAGATATTCTAGTCTGACACATGACTGAAAAGTGCTAGAAATCAACAGAATTAGTTATTAAGCTAAAATAAAACTTCAGTGATCCTTTTTAAAACAAATAACTGCTTTTACAGATAGGACCTGTAATACAAGGACAATTCACACAAGAATAAAAAAAAAAGTGCAAGGAATAGATTAGCGTGGCGACTTAACACAATTCTTCTCAGAGGGGGCTGGGAGTCATCCCCAATTCACACAAACATCAACCCTAGTAACCCCCATCCACCCCACACTCAGTCATACCAAGAGCTGAGTAACTCTACATGTGTCACGAGCCTCATCTTAAAACAAACCTAGAAAGAGAGGGTCAGGGGTACCCAAAGACTAGCTTCAAAACACACCATTCCTCCTTTCTGGCATGGACTTCTGCCCGTCTAGTCATGCTAACCCTAGATCTATCTAGTACCACAAGAAAGAATTCAGCTACCTTAACTCAGTCTAGTAGGTAACTACCAGGTAGTTTCCTCAAGTAAATCTGTCAATTATTTTTCTTCACCAGCTGCGGATGGAATCTAGGTTTCAAACTGAACATTGATGCAGAAACTGAACCTCTGTATTATGAGAGTTGAGAATAGCAAGCGGCAACGAAGCTGAAGTCTGTATATATGCAAATACTGTTTTAGTTAATATGAAGGTATGAATCAAATTTCACTGCAGAATTCCCATGAACAGTACAACATCCAAGTCCGTTTGTTTGCATTCTGCATGCTCTAGCCCCTAGCTGCAAAAACACACATGCCAGCAGTGTGCGTTACACTTGGAGATTATTTCCGAGTCACGTTTCTACATAGCCGTGAAAAGCCGTCACCCAGCGCTTACCTCTGTCATCCACAATGAGCTTGTCCATGCCCCTGGGTCCTAGGGTAGTGCGCACAGCTTCTGCGATAACCTGGCAGGCATTGATGTTACTGACGAGCTGGGGGATCCCATGTGAGGTGTCCGTGCCCTCCTTCAGCAGGATAACGGGTGTTGGCTGAAGAGACAAACCACAGCAGAGCTGTAACTCCAATCTCAGACAGCCCAGTGCTAACTCTGCAGGCAGCCCAGCAAGTTATCGCTGCTCAAAAAGGTATTTTTCCCCTATGCAAGAAACTAGCTGCACAACAGCTCTCTCACTCCCAAGACCAAAAACTGCAGTTCCCTCAAAGGCCTGGTGGCAAAAATAAAACAAAAAAAATCCCAATCCCTAAGCATCTTGCTTTACTGAGTTTATTGACCTGCCTAGAGCTTCAAAGTAAGACTGTGACTACAAAAAGACCTGAGAGAGAGAAGGCCACAAACTGCCACTGTTACACAAAGCAATTCCTCTAAAAGTTTACTTCCACGTTCTCAAGCATTCCGTGTTTGTTTGAAGTTTTATCTTGACTGAACTCCTGTAGCTTCAAAGAAATGTACTAGAGCACTTTTCCATGAAAGGCTGAAGGTTCAACTTTACCTAGAAAGCATTACGGATGCAGTCAAACCGCTCCAAGGCAAGGTGTCACTTGCTTCTATAAAGTAACTGGAATCTACCCAACTGCTTCCGTTTCTATGCCCTTGGACTGTATTGTAACTGTCCACAAAACAAGCGGGCTTCTTTCCCCATCATATAGCTCAGAGAAGGTCTAATTCCTGTGCTACGCTTGATCTCTACACCATAAGAGACAGTATGTGTAATAATTACTGAGGCAGCAGGGAACTGCACGAGCTACAACCCAGATGAGTTACTTAAGTCTCCTAAGATGTACAGCACAACAGGCGCAAGAGCTCTCAGATCACAGTCCAAGCTACCCCAAGGATGGCAACTGCTGCAACGCACCTCCCTGCTCGCAGAGGAAACAGGGGGGATGAACACAAGTGACTGCACCTGCCTGACAGTAAACTGAACTGGACACAGCTTAGAAATACAAGCAAAGCCTACAAGATTTCAAAGGCCACGGCAAACAGCTCTTTGCTGTGCTCCAAGAGCGCAGCAGCCCTTTTCAGGATTTCTAGGAAACAGACTAAACGTGCCTTAAAGACAAAGCTCAAAATCCACACGAACCAGAAGCTTCTTCGGCGCTCAGTTTTAAAGAGCCATCTGCAGCAGAGAGCAAAACCGTACGATGACCGTTGTGCTAAAGAGCAACAAGACCGGAGCCGAGGGCCTGACGGGCGAGCGGAAGACGGGCGCGAGCACCGCAGCCAGAGCTACCTAAGCCTTGGCAAGCTCCCGAACAGAAATCTAAAGGGAACAGAGTCGATTGCATCCTAGGGAAAATCAGGTTAGAGGCAGACACGCAACCCTCGTGGAGCAGCACCGGCAGGGCCAAGGCAGGACTCAGCACGGACCGGGGCAGCACCGGGTCCCTCCACGCCCCGAAGCGGGCTGCCGAGCTCAGGCCCCGCCTCGAGGCCCCGGGGCGCCACGTACCGCCCGCTCCGGCCTACAACTCCCAGCATGGGCCGCTCTGAG